GTTCTTGTGTGGCATGCACGCACAATGAGTTACTGAGGTGTACCGCGGTTGCGTAGACGAATGGCAATGACGAGTCGGATGCGGACGTGAAGATGGAGGATGCGGGTGTACCCATGGATGTCGAGTACGTACCTGAGCAGTTGGATGTCAAAGGCCCTGCACTGGAAGAATTCTCCGACGTATTTGCTCGCTTCCAGCTGCCTGCTGAGGCCTCATCAGTGCGTAACGCATTCTAACCTTTCGGCGTATTGACGCGCATGCGTCCACAGCAGGATCGCGACCAAGAGCCCTCGAAAGGCGAGATCATCTACTCGGACGACGACATGGCCTCTGAGGGCGACTCCGAGGCGGAAGAGAAGAAGCCTCTGTCCAAGAAGAAGGCGCGCAAAATGAACCGGTTGACGGTTGCAGAACTCAAGCAGCTCGTCAAGAAACCTGAAGTCGTTGAGTGGACAGACGTCACCGCCGCTGACCCCCGTCTCCTCCTCCACCTGAAGAGCTACCGTAATACTGTACCTATCCCAAGCCACTGGAGTGCGAAGCGCGACTACCTCCAGGGAAAGCGTGGTATCGAGAAGCCTCCGTTCCAGTTGCCGTCATACATCGCCGACACCGGTATTGCCACTATGCGTGATGCCGTCAAGGAGAAAGAGGCAAACATGTCGCTCAAGGCGAAGACGCGCGAGCGCGTTCAGCCGAAGATGGGCAAGGTCGACATTGACTACCAAAAGCTGCACGACGCGTTCTTCAAATTCATGACGAAGCCAAACGTGACAGGCTTTGGCGAGATGTGAGCAGTCAGGTTGGTTCTGGTTTATGTGCAGCTGACAGTCTCTGATGTACTCAGGTACTATGAAGGCAAAGAGTTCGAGACGCAGCTCAAGCACAAGAGGCCTGGTGACCTATCCCCCGAGCTGGTCGAGGCGCTTTCAATACCGCCACTTGCACCTCCGCCATGGCTGATCAGCATGCAGCGGTTTGGGCCGCCTCCTAGTTATCCGACCTTACGTACTCCTGGTCTGAACGCTCCAATTCCTGAAGGGTGAGTGGTCTGGTACGTCTCAAAGGTTTCATCTCATAGAGCTCCTGTTCAGTGCGCAGTGGGGGTTCCATCCAGGTGGTTGGGGTAAGCCGCCGCTTGATGAATACAATCGTCCACTCTACGGTGACGTCTTCGGTGTCATGCCGAAGAATACCGACGCAGACGTAAGTCATCGGCCTCCGCCCTCATTCATGTGACTAACGAGGTTTCCGCTAGATGGGTGAACCAGTCGATCGCAATATGTGGGGTGAACTTGAACCCGAAGAAGGTTTGTGACTTGTACTATGTCTCGGTGTCTGTTCGCGTGCTGACTTCGCATGCAGAGGAAGAGGAAGAAGAAAGCGAGGAAGAAAGCGAGGAAGAGGAGCAGTCAGAGCCATTGCCGCAAGATGGCATGCAGACGCCATCCGGCCTGGAAACGCCATCCGGCATGACGAGCGTCGTGTCGACAGTGGCAGGCGGGCTGGAGACGCCAGACTTCCTCGAGCTCCGGAAGAATGCAGGTCGCGCGCCTTCAGAGGCCGCAGATACTGGCCCGCGGTCGCTCTACCAGGTCGTGCCCGAGAAGCAGACCTCCGTGCGTGGCCTCATGGGCAGCGAGCGTGGGTACGATGTCACTGCCGTTACAGGGGGTGGCGCCATTCCTGTCCTCGGAGACGAACGAGGCTCGAAGGTGAGTCACCTATATCTTCCGCGCCCTGTTGTACTATACTGACTCACCTTGTGCGATGCAGCGACGCAATGGCGTGGATGTTTCCATTGATGCAGCGGAGCTGGAAGGAATGTCTGAGGAGGAGCTACGCCGGAAGTACGAGCAGCATGCGCGCGGATCTGCAGGTGTGCCGGGGGCGCATGGTCGTGAAGACTTCTCAGACATGATTGGCAAGGAGATGGCGAAGCGGAAACATAAGTCGGACAACGACAGGGAGAGAAGACGGGAGAAGGAGTTCAAGTTCTAGTTTCCTATCGCTTGAGCCTAATCTGGCTCTGTGGGAGTGGTTCGGGGTTGCACGCTGTATATCGATTGCATTGGCATGCTGTCTTTCTACCTTGTGAGTCATATCTGGGCGGAATCTCGATGTACTTCGGCTTCGTGTTTTTCATTCATATCGCTATATGACAGGTGCGTGGTTGCAATGTGGCCTTTCGAGTCCCAGCTTAGCAGGGCTGGATGACTGTGTGTGAGTTTGTTCTACCATGAGGTGTACGGCTGTGGTGCCTCGTTCCTCATGGATGCTTCTCGTGGAAGGGCCATGCTGAGTGTCGCTGCTGATCATCTACACTGGACTAGGATGGAGACATGCCAATCTACCCGGAGAGGATAACGGAGTGCTGGATCCGTCTCGATAACCAGTGCAAACCGAGGCACGCCAGACAACGCGTGCAACTTCGTGTCAATGCTGATTCGGCTCGTGCTCCGCGCATGATTCCCAGCGTCGCGGCATCATGACCATCCCTTCCTCCACGCTACACATATGACCAAAGCCAAAGCCAAATCCGAGATCGGCGGCTATTTCGACCACTACATCGTCCTGGCGGTAGTGGTCACGCAGAGGGTCATATTCGTCTTCGTCGTTGCAGTGGCAAGGATGCTGCACAACGCACAACGCGCGTGCGTGGTCGTCGGTGGTCCGTATGTGCTTGTGTTTTGTCGCGAGTCAGCTGAGTAGCCAAGTGCGACATAGATCGTGCTTACTTTTTTGCAGCTCGTCGTGATTTCTGCGGCCGTTGTTACGAGCCTCTCCACTGTTTTCGTTCCAGCGGGCTGATCTTGAGGATTTATCGGTGTCTGCATGCTCCAAAACCTGTTGTAGAGGTATTGTAACCACATTGGATAAGGTGAGTGTAAAGTCTTCAAGTTTCAAGCGGCTGCATATATATACCTGAACGTTTGCACAGTTGGACACACTTCTGAGGGGTGTTCAGGATGCATAATGCCTTGCGTATACCATTCACCCACCTGCCGTTGTGCGGCGCCCGCCACATTGCTCACGACACAAGCATGCGTGTTGTATATGGTTCACAGCTTCGGGGAGGTTGACTGCCTCGATGAAAACCACAGCCTGAATCGTACGAGCGCTGGCAGCGGTTCAGCTGTGGACAGCCTGTCGTCAATCAAGTGCGCTCTGAGTTGCGAGCAGCAACTCTACGGACATAGGTAACGCACTCGAGGCGTGTTGTCCAGAACGTTGTCGCCGTGCGCCTCGCCAACAATAGGTCAACTTTTGTTGATCATACGTCGACATGTATAAGGCCATATGGAACTACACACACGGGCGCTGCCAGGATGCGGTATGTACTACCGTTTACTACCTACTTGGATCGATCAATTGCCAGCACGGAACGTACGGACTTGTGACTCAGAGCAGCCAGCGTCACTGGCGCCAGTCTTACTGGCTTCAGCGTCACGGTCTCTGCATAGACACATCTCCCCGACGTACTGTGTATATCTTTGCGTTCGCAACAATCGCATGACTTGACTTGACAGTTCAACACAGCCATTGTCGAGCTCGGGCCCAAAGCGCTGATCGGGCACAGTCAGGATTGATGATATATACGCATGGTCCCGCCGCGACTGACTCTACTGAGTGCTGAGCCATCGGGGTCTACTTTCACTGTTCCACTGGTTGCGTCGCGTACTTCGCAGCATCGTTTCTTGACTGTGTACTCATGTCGGATGACCAAGCCCCGGACGGCTTCGCTTCTAGAATACGTGGACTGGTCACACGCACGAAAGCACTGGCAACTTTTCAGAGAAAGGACAGTTTGGATGAAGGTACTTGGTGAAAGTGTCTGAATCACAATCGCTGCTCATCGGATACACGTTATACAATGCAGGTGGTCTGCGACTTCTTATCGCTGAAGATGGCGACATTGGGCCTATAGCATTGCATAGCCCAAGTATATCGACAGAAGATTTGGGAATCACTCATGACCCCGACAGGAGCCGCACCCACATCATCTTAGGTCCTTGTCTGTCTGTTTTTCGGTGAGTGGATACAAAGTGACTATGCCGACATTTTGGAGTTGATTCCTGCTCATTGGTGTAGACTCGCCCGCAGGCGACTATGGGTCATCTGTGGCGTCATCTGCCTCTTCCTCCTCACATTACACCTCGAAACGGGCGAATCGTGCGTCTAACGTGGCGACAGCAGCTACGGGACACGATGTTCAATACGTGCGGAGCACATGCAAGCCAGGTGTCGGACAGCTGACGGCAAAACCTGTGTGGAACGTGCTGTCACGGCTTTGTCAGCAGGAGACAGGTTCTGTCGCCGCGGTCCTCCACCTTGCCTCCACCCACTGTCAAGATGAGTCGAGCGCGCATGCGGTATCGGCCGGTGGCTCGATGGACCCCCTCCTCCTTCGAAGTATTACTCGTATTTCAGTTCTGTGTGTACCGGTACGTCCTTCAAGTTGCGTGGTAGTACTGCCTCGTACTCTGATGATAAACTCGATGCAATTTTACGGGCACCAGCAATGATTAAATAATGAGTACTCGGCGCACTGAATACGCGATGCCGTCGAGCACTGCACCGGTGCTGGGAGCGCAGGGTGAGATGTCTGATCATTACAACACTGCCTTCCCACTGATCTAGCTTTCTCAAAAGTGTTATGTACTAGTAGCGCGTTCTCCTTGTCCTTCAACTTGAAGGTGGCTCGGTAGACGGATCCGGGACCAGCCTAGGCTCGGATGTCATCCGTATTGTGGCGAGCCAGAGCGGTGTCTCAGTGAGATCCACGTATCAAGTGACCACGTCCAGCGCGCCGCCCCCGCGCGCCCCCGACATTGGGCCTCCGCACGAGGCTACAGTGCAGCCATTTCGAGACACTAGGCTCCTCTCCCGTGCAGGCGCTGACGTCTGCTTGCTTTGCCATCTGACATCGGTCACTGGCGTGTATCTTATGAACATGATATCCGACTCGGAGTCTCTCATTTCCCCCCTTTCTGCGCGAGGCTCCTGCTGCGTCTCCCCCGCGGAGCAATGCACCATCTGTTCCGTCCTCCACGGCGTCGTCCACGCTCAGCGTCGCGACTAACAACACGACCACGCCGTCAACGCCCGCAAGCACCGTCTCCAAAAGCAGGAGCGTCGGGAGTCCCGACGCTCCGGCTTCTTTAGCCGGTTCACGGGCGGTTTGACTGCGTCGGCGTCGTTGAGCCTCAGCTCAAGCATGACGTCGCTCTCGCTCGAGACCTGTGTCCACGCCGAGCGCGGCTCCGTCGACGAGCTCGTCCTGCCAGGGACTCCACTGACTGAGCCCTATAGCGCCTCATTTATGAAGAAGATCAATCAACTAAGTACTGGGTCACACTCGACGACCATCTCACTAGTCTTCGCAAGTCGGCTGGAAATGACGCAAAAAAGCTTGCACGGTATGTCTCCCTTCTGGGCTTCTATTCATTATGTACTGATATCGTGCCACAGAGTCTTTAGATCTATCCTCGACAATGATAGGGCATCACATGGCAATAACCCCGCCGCGATCAACGCTGTTCCCGAAGATGAAGTAGTAGATGAACGGCAGCAACAGGTCAACAAGGCTTTTGTTTCGTCGACTGAGAGAGATGATGCGCAGCCAAGCCCCAGCGGATCTCCTGCGTAGTAGTCCTCGTTCTACTAGTGCTCTGTGCCACGCGTGTATCCCGGGCCTGGGCTCAATTGTGGATTTCATTTCACTGTACTCATAGAGCATTATTCGAACTGTTCAATGTAATGTGGGCTGCGTAGACGTGAACCATTACTATGCGATTGAATACCGATTCGTGATCGTGAATGGGTGCTTGAATACTGCAAGAATGCTGTCTGCGACGCAAGGACCTCACGCTCAACGCATGCATGCAGCTCATATCAATGTAATTTGCACGGCGGTACTACGTTAACGCATGTCAAAACCACGCGCACCCCACCTCGTAGGCAGCTGGCACACCACCTGTCTGCCACGTACGACTGTCGACACGGTGGGGCCATTTCCTCCTTTTCGTGGCCACCATGTGTCGTCAGCGCGTCTCAGGTGGCAGGTCCATGTATTTCGCGGGCCGCACTCACGTGGACTCCATGTGCCAGCCAACTCGAGGTGTAGTATCCGCCAGTGTCTTCCTCCTGAAGGGAGATAAATCGGTCAGCACAGTTTTCAATGCACCGGGACGTATCGTTGACATGCACGTTCGCTCCACTCCAGCCTGTATGGGATGGTCCCACGGCCATCCCTGAGTACAATACATCTCTCGGCTGTCTGAACGCCTCTTATGCTTCCGAGTCGACCTTCGAGATCCCCGTTTCCTCGGAGGGGACTCACCTCATCGAGGTCACTGGGTCCATAGTGGGGACCCTCGTCATCGCACAAGCAGACGAGAGTGCTACGCAGGTCCAGTACGAGATGAAGGTGATGGCCGATGAGGAGCGTACCTTCAATGTCATCAAGCGCGAGGAGCGCCCCAATGCAATGAGCCTCCATACGATCGGGCTTTCCGCTCCTGAATCCCATCCGTGCCAGCGCTTTGACATCACCGTCCGTGTCCCACCCACTGTGCGTCATCTCACCGTGAAGACCGAGGGGACGACCCACGTCCTGTTTGGCCGCCAGAGCAGCCTGTCCCTCTCCTCCCTCGACTTGGACCTACAGAGCACGGCCACAGACAACATGCTCCTCTCCCACATGGGCGTCCAGGCTGATACGATGACCTTCGCCATGGGCGGCGGGTGGCTCATGGGCAATCTCCTCCTCACCCAGAACATGTCTCTCCTCCAGTCCGGACGCTCTGCGATGCTCGTCGACGTCGTGCCCTCCAACTCGCCGGATCTCGCGTCGGTCCCCGCAGTCCTCCGCACGGAATGCGGGCCGGGCCGCTCGCACATCACCCACCGGTCCATCTCACGGGCAGCACACAGGCCTATCGATAGCGTACATAGGGCGCAGCACGGCGGACAGCTGGAGATTGACTACAAGGGCACGGCGTTCGACGGGTCGGTGACGGTCACTGCACAGTCACTTCGCGCAAACGGGAAGCTGTCTGGAACCGTCAAAGGCGGTGAAAGAGCGAGTCACAAGACGTTGTGGGTAGGCGACAAGGAGGGCACAGATCGAGTGGAAGTGGAGAACTCCAAGGGATATGTATCGCTCAATTTCTAAACCATATTCCGCGATAGGGTCCGTTCTGGCTGATTTATTGGACTTACGCTCGCTCGTCGTTGGATGCTTCGTACGATTGACATGCAAGCGTGGTGAATGTACATTACTTGTGACACTTCTATCTCTCTGCCATCCCGTCTACGACTCGTACACGTTCTTCACCTTGTACATCTTCGTATCCGCCGGCGTCGCTAGGTCGCCCTTCCCATAGATGGGATCGACTTTGTACATCTTCGTGTCCACCGGGATGTCGAACGCCTGCTCAGAACCCGCTCCCCGGCCGCCCTTCTCAGCAATCTCCTTCTCCTCCTTCGCCGCCTTCCCGGGAGCATTCGCAACCGGTGCCGCCTTGCTCGCAATACTCGCCGCCCGTCCATCCGGGATACATATGAACTCTCTCCGACCTGTCTCCCCCGACACACCGTCGTAAATATAGTACCCCTTCCGCTCGAACTGGATGATATCCCCCTTCTGCAGGTCAGTGACGTTCGCGTCCGCCCACGCGTCCTCGCGGAACTCGCTCTGCGGCGTGACGAAGTCCTTGACGTCGTCCTCGTCCTCGAGCTTCTTCTTCGTGATCAGGTAGTCGTAGTCGAGCAGCGTCGCGCCGACGAGCGGGTGCGCGGGGTGCGCTGAAGGGTCCGGGAGCCAGGTGATTTTCTTTTTGGTCTTGCGGAAGTCGCCGGAGAGGTGGAGGTCCATGGTCAGCGCGGTGATTACCCCGTTGGCGTCGGTTGTTTTGGAGCGGACGACGGCGTTGCCCCAGTCCATGAGAGTGATCTATGACCCTTTGAGCCTATGCACAACGAGACAGAAAAGCAGGAACGGACCTCCTCATTGTCATCGAACGACACCGCATCCTCCTGCTCAACGAGGATATTGCTCGAGAACACTGTCTTCTTCTCGCCTACCTCCGGGTTCTTCTTGTGCTTGGGCAGCGTCTTCACCTCAGGCTCGGACGGCCCGCCGTTGATCGTGACCTTCACCCTGTACCAATATACCTAACTCAGCCTTTTCTCCCTGCACAAGGATGGCACACACGTACGTGCCGTTTTTGCCGATCGCCCAGAAGCGCGGTGCAATGGGGTCAATCACCTTTTTGTTCAGCGTCCAGAGCGAGTCCCACTCGAGCGAGACGATCGCTTGTGAGGGACCCTGGGCAAGCATGAACTGCCGGAGAGCGTCCACGGTCATGCCGCGTCGGCGGATACCTACAGAATGGAAGTGAGCAGATGCGTGGTAGAGGATCATCCGGTAGACGCACCCCGGACGGTCGGGAACCGCGGGTCGTCCCACCCGTGAACGATGCCCTGGTCGACGAACCAATGGAGCTTGCGCTTGGAGAGGAGGGTGTAAATGAAGTTGAGACGACTACGGAGGTGGGGAAATGAGTCAGTTGTTCATGGCATCGCTGCAAACAAGGCTTGTTCACCTGAAGTCCCAGATGTGCACCGAACGCAAGCCGAGTGCCTCAATCATCCAAAAGTACTGGGGATTCCGGTCGCGGTACTCGTTCGTACGGAGCGCGTGCGTGACGCCCTCGAGCGAGTCCACGATCGGGCATGCGAAATCGTATGTCGGGTAGATCTTCCACTTATCGCTGCAAAGGCGCACTCATGGTAAGCGAAACGTCCCAAGTCGCATGCTATCAGCGTACCCTGTGCGGTGGTGAGGAAGGATATTGCACCGGTAGATGACAGGGTCGCGGAGCGCTTTATTTGGGTTGTCGACGCTCATCTTCGCGCGGATACACCACCGTACGCCCTCCGCAGAGCCTGTCTTCATCTCGGCAAAATGTGCAAGGTTGTCCTCAACACTGTCGTCGCGATGCCTAGACGCAATGCCGTCGAAGCGCTGCTGGCGCATCTGTTTTTCATTACGGTGAGCGCCGCATATCGGGGAAGGTACAAGAGAACCCTACCTCCGCTTGCTCGGTGTCGTCTGCATATGCCTTGCCCTCCTTGATGATTTTGATCGCAAGCTCATACAGCTGGTCGAAGTAGTCAGACGTGTGCGAGACCGCATCTGCCTTGACATCCAACAGCGCAAGATCCTCCAGGATAGTCTCCTCAAATTCCGTGCGTTCTTTGGTCGGGTTCGTGTCATCAAACCGGATGAGCAGCTTCCCTTTGTACATCTGTGCGAAGTACTGGTTGAGCATCGCCGCCTTCGCGTGCCCGATGTGTAGGTAGCCACTCGGCTCGGGCGGGAAACGTGTGACGACCTGGCCCATCTCCGCGCCCTCGAGCCCGAGCGCGAAGGAAGCAGCGGTCTTGTTGGAGCGCGCCTTGCTCGACTTCGCTTCGGCGAGGCTGGCGATGACGAGCTGAGTGGACTCGAGGGACTCGAGTTGAGTGTACCATCGGAGGAGGTGAACATGCTTATTGTTCTTGAGGAGACCAACGATCTTCACACTTCCTAGCGGTGTCTGATGAGTATACGTGGTGTATAGAGCAGGGCCAGAACTTACCTTTCAAGGCACCCCATACGATCCAGTCTGCCGCGGAGACATCATGTCCGACCAAGAAGGTACGGAAAGCAAGGTGATCGTCAAGAGAGTCGAGTGCCGCGACGATTGCGGGGAATGCAGTCACGGTGGGCAAGGACTTCGCCAGAGCGAAGTATGCTTGCGTCTACTCAGGTTTCAACGGTAGGTGTGCAGGAGAGCGAAGGATCTCGAGGATCATACCTTTGCACTGTCATCAGACAACCCTCCCTCCTTGGCCAAGGCCTGCACGATCTCGTCCTCTGCAGAGATCGTAGACCCGTTGAGGTCGAGCGAAAGACTTGCACCTTCCTCGAAAGTTAGTTCGGCCTTGCCGGTGTAGGTCGCAATCGCTGCCGCTGCGTAAGGAAAAGGAGACAGAGTCGCCGAAAACTTGAGTACACCAACCATCGCGGCAAGGATGTATGTGGTAGATGAGTGGGATGAGAGGATGCAGGAGAAACCGTGCCCGCGGCAGAGTGACTCGCCACAAACGCGCCTCGATCGACTCAAGATCTGATCGAGACGGTCCGGGCAAACTGTGGCGCTCCGACGTTTAGTTTGACGGGCCTGCTGGCGCTCAGCTCTCACCAGTCGACTTGGTGGGTGCAAGAATAATCAGGCTGCGCACATAGCTTTCATCGTTGATGGGATTCTCTAGGACATTTTCTAAATATTCAACTGTACTTTCAGAGATCGTACAATACAACTTGCGTCTTGCGGCGCCCGGGTTGAACTTGACCATAGAAGACCTCCGTTAAAGAGGTCTTCTTTAGGATCTGCCTACAGGAGAGAGAAGGAACGTGGACTAAGATGCATCCTCGAAATCCGTATGGAACGGCGCCCGACTTCGTGTCTCTCGCAGATGCGTATCCTACGTTGAAACCGCAGTGGGTACTTTGTTGTCTTACTTTTGAAGAGAACTGAGGCTACATGTGCTCCCAGTCTAATCGCCACGGCCAGTGGGGTGTCAATCGACTTTCGGGAC